AAATGAGGAGATGCTTAATAAACTTGAGCGCATTCAGAATCTATGCATACGGTTCATATTTGTACTTCGAAAATATGACCATGTCTCCGAATATCGCGAAAAACTCTCGTGGCTTTCGATCCGTCTTCGCAGGAATACTCACATTCTTTCTCTTTTATACTGTATACTATTCAATCCCACTTCCCCTACTTACCTCAAAGAGCGATTTGAGTTTCTTGGTGACACTCACTGTCGCTCTCTTCGGTCTGATAAAAACCTCACCCTAAAAATTCCATCTCATAACACTTCCTTATATTCTAAATCCTTTTCTGTTGAAGCTGTTAGGCTCTGGAACTCCCTACCGCTGCACATTAGAAGTGCGCAGTCTATTGATAAATTTAAAAAACTTGTCAAAGCGCACTTCTTTCCTCCTTAAATAGTAATTCCTCTAAAAAATTACTACCTACTCATTTTTCCTTACGTTTAGGCTGTATGTATATATTTTTGTATTTAAAATGTATTTATTTATATTATAGATGTATGTATTTATGGATTATATTATATATGTCGTGTGTATTTTCTATCAACCTACGTACACCCTTACCCTTTCTCACAGGTCATTTTATCCTCTGCAATGTGGTTGCCTGGTAGAGATCGCTCCCAAGCGATAAGGCCGCCAATTGTACCTTTAAATAAATTATGTTCTTTTTTCTTCTCATATGTATTTTTTGGTGTACAATAAAGTGTATTTCATTCATTCATTCATTCAAATATTACTGAAAGAAGCTGTAACAGGCTGCGATTATCATAATAACAACATCTTGTGAATGTTATAAATCAAGTTATGTATGTATGTTCGTATTAGGCCTATAGTATAATATAGTTACAGACCTATTTATAAAAAGTTTTAAAAGCAGTACATTTAACGCTTCAAACCGATTTCCAAGCATTTAAAAGCATTTACTCTGTACAATCAATAGATAACTACAATGACAAGACTTGAAAGTCCTTTTAACGCAAATGGGCTTACATTATTTAAAGCGAAGATTTTCCTTTTCAGCTTCTCTCAATATTTATTTATACAGGAAGAGTGCCTAAAATTAAACATTTGCAAGTGAAATTTGTTTCTTTTATCTCCAATAAGCTATCCATATGATGATTTTTTCCAGTACTGTGCAAACGTTTTACGTATGCGATTACACAAGCGAAACGCACCGAAGCGTAAATCACGCTATAAAAGTTCCGAACTACTATGCTATATATAAAATAACTCCGAACTAACTCATGGAGCATTGGCCGCTCCCCAGACTAAACACCTTGTCCGGTAGCAGATCTCCCTTTTGCCTTCAAAGGCCATACATAAATTACACTTGGACAAACACCCTGACACGGCACAATTAATTAGCTGTAGGCCACTTAGCGTACTGTTATACCCCATCAATGTTAGGAGATCGGTTAACGCATCTCTTTAACGCTGCTGCGTCAGCACCATAAACCCTATATAACCGACCTCCCGACAAACGCCCATAAATCAGTCGGGAATCATAAGTCAGTCGAATCATAAGTTAGTCAAGTCAAGACAGTCTCGTTCAGTGCTTCCAGATTCACTGTAATTACAGTAGAATGGAATATACTGTATTTATATTTTATAGCAATGATGCAACTAGCAATAAGTAGCAGTCTCTGTCTTACAAAGGAACATTGCATTTTTCGTCTATCTCATTACACTTAAATTGGTTTTGCCATGGTGCATACATTTTATTTGAGATTAAAACTTTTTAATTGTTTTGGGTGATATGAAATAAAGTCTAAACTATAACTTATAGCGACTAGCGATATTACTGTAAAAATGAGCTCAAACAGTAAGGAAAGTGATGTGCGTAGCGATGCTGGTCCGATAAGAGCTAAAAAGAAATATCGGCAACAATTCCGTGATGAATGGCTCCAAATCCAAGACTACCGTAAGTGGTTAAAGCGTGATAAAAAGTCGGCTTATAAATGCATTTGCACTGTTTGCGATTCTTCTTTGATTTGTTAAGCATAAAATTCGTCTTCTTGGCCTATCGCATGTGCGTACTATTGATAATATTTTTAAAAGTCAGCAATGTGGAAGTGATGATGATCAGCGGAAAATTACGGAATTAAAATTATCAGCTTTTATGCCAGAACATAAAATATCGCACATAATGATGGAACATCGCGTTGATTTAACAGATTCTAAAGTAACATCAAACTTCGCAAGTAACATCAAACTTAAACATACTAAATTACGAGCAGTAATAAATAACGTTATCGGGGCTTCTGAAGAAGAATGTTTAGTCGAAGATTTAAAACGCGTAAGGTTCTCTATAATGGTAGACGAAAGTACCGATGTTGCCAGTGCCAAAATAATGTTTGTTGTAGTCAAATATTATGATTCTAATCTAGGACGTATCATCAGTCGAATCTGGGATCTTATTCAAATATCTGATGATAAAAAAGCTGGAATGTCTGGTGATTACACAGCTACGGCTGAAAAATTATTTAATTCAATAATAAAATCATTTCGAGACAAAAAAATACCCTTAGAAAATACAATCGGGTTTGGTTCCGATGGATGTAATACGATGATGGGCTGCCATAATTCAGTGTCCTCACGATTTAGACAACTATGTCCAGGTATTGTCGTGATCAAATTCCTTTGCCGTTCTTTATATTTGTGCGCTTCCGACGCTTGCAAAAATTGCCTCACGATGCAGAAAAACTGGCTCGATTGATATACAATTACTTCAAAAATAGTAGCAAACGTCAAGCAGAGTTAAAAGAATTTCAAGCATTTACAGACACTAACATACACAAATTGCTACGTCCAGCCCAGACACGTTGGTTGTCTCTATTCAGTGTTGTGAACAGAATTATGGAGCAATGGGACGCCTTACGATTGTACTTTGATGATAAATGGCTGGAAGACCAAGATTGCCAAGCCATTCACATTCTTTTGAGTGATCACATCATCAAGGCATATTTTTATTTTTTATGTTGGATGCTGCCATAATTTACCCGCGACAATGTATACTTTCAAATCGAAGATCCGGTTATTATCGACGACCATAACAAAATGAACAGAGCTATACAGAGAACTGTTATCCTTATACATAACTCCGAATAATATAAAAAACACCCCACTCGACGCAATTGATCCTACTGATAGTCAACATTACATAAATCTGAAAGATATATACCTGGGATTGGGTGTTGCTAATCAAGTTTCTCTCCCAGGGCTACATGCAAGTACCGAAGAAGTTACAGTGATGAAACAGAAATGCCTGAATTTTATCGTTAAAGCATGCGTGGGTATTCGGAAAAGATACAGTTTGAATGACCCAGTTTTGAACTGAATCGCAAAGTTGGATCCCGATTCTTGCTTATCTGATAATATACTACAGTATTTGTCGTCACTGTTCCCAGTGCTGCCAAGGTTTAAGCTCCAAACTTTAAATGATCAACAGATGTTAGATGACGAATGGAGAAACTTAATTTTGACTGCGAATGAACTACATTTGAATACAAATCCAAAACACCAGGAAACGTATTTTGGCATCAGGTAAAATTTTACCATTTAAGAACTTTACGTAATATTGCACATATGTTATCATTTCACAGATTTGTTTTTTTTTCAGTTGTCTCAAATCAAAGATAGCAACGGCGATAATAAATACCATTTTCTGCCCCGTTTTATGCTCCAAGTTTTATTGTTGCCTCACTCGAACGCTGAGTGCGAATGAAAGTTCAGCGAAATAAATAATATAAAAACAAAGCAGAGAAATTGTTTAGTCACAAATATCATCAAAGGCAACATGCTAGCTCAGCAAGCTATTCGGCGGACTTCCGAAAATTGCGTGAATTTCAATCCAACTAAGGAAATGATTTCAAGGATGACAGCAAAGATTTATGAAAATCATGAGCAAATTGGTTATGGAATAAGAAAATAAATAACATTTTTTTGTATCTATATGAATATTTTTATTTATTTAATAACTTATAGCAATTTGTATTGATAAACAAAGTCATAAAGCAGCTTATTTTTCTATCAATATTTAAACAAAGTCTTACCGTAATTTTACTGTAATCGATTTTGAAATCTGCTGTATTGTTTTTAGAAACTCCTGTATTTTTTAACGGGCAACACTGTAATTTTACTTTTGGGATCTGGAAGCACTGGTCTCGTTCGAATCTCAGTCTCGTTCATACATCGTTACTAAGTCGTTACTATATCCTATCCTAAATCTTTTCTATATTCTAAGTTCAAGTTATTCTATATCCTAAGTTTAAATAAATCTTATTGTTAATTCTAACCAATTATATCGTGTTGTGTAAATAAAATCGTTTTTTTTTTAAAAAGCTTTATCCACGGTCCCGTATAATATTGGTGGCAGCGGTGGGATACGAAAATCCCCTACCCGAATACGTTTCCGAAGAATAACATTATCCAAGAGTTAACAAAGTGCAAAATAAGAAAAAAATAAAAGTTTAAACAAAGTGAAAGTGCATCAAGAATATCAACATCCAGCATGTTCCAAGCACAGGCCTTCTGCATCAACCAGCATCCTACTTATCACCGTCGTCATCCTCACTGGCACACAGGGGTGTGTCTCCAGCATACAATGAACACAAATGCAAGATTATTCATCACTCTATCACTACTCCTGTAAGTGATCTTCTTTTAAACAATTATTAAGGAACTCAGAGCAAAGACATCCTTTTAATTTAATTTAAAATATAATTTATCTTCTAACCATTTCATTCTTATGTTACAATATTTCAAATTTAAACTGTATTCATTGTTCTATGCATTAACTGTGATTTCATTGTTGAATATATTTATGTTACGATAAGCTTTAGTTAACATTGTTCTGTGTTGTGTTGTTCATTGTTATATAGCCGATAAGCGGTCTACGATTTAATTTTAATTTGTAATTAACTACTTCAATATCACAATGAGTAAATGTGAAGAAACTCCCTGTGCCTCTAAAAACTTACCAATGCGCGGTGAAGCTGAGGAAAAATCAGTAGAAATCGGTGTGTTATTAAAATTCATTAAACCTTTTGATGGATCACGAGAAAAACTAAATCCATTCATATCCAATTGCCAAAACGCATACAGTTTAGCTTCCAAATCACAAAAATCGATACTATTTAAATACATACTTAGCCAATTAGAAGGTAGGGCGGAAACAACGTGTAGCATAAAAGATTTCGAATCATTTGAACAGTTCTTAGAATTTTTAAAACAACAGTTTGGTGAAAGAAAGCATTACTCTCACCTCCTGTCAGACCTACAGGATTGCAAGCAGAACACCACAGAATCAGTAAATCAATTTGCTTTAAGGATAGAAACATGCCTAGCTAAATTATTAACTGAAATAAATATTTCCATCCCAACTAAAAGGAAAACGGAACTATCAGGTCGCGTAGCAGCTATGGAGGACCTAGCCCTCCACACATTTGTAATAGGACTCCACCCGCGTTTATCTCAGATAGTCAGGTGCCGTCACCCTGACTCTTTAAACTCAGCAGTTAACTTCGCAGTGGCCGAAGAAAAGATCCTCTCTAGCATAGGGAAAAGACCTCAACCGCCACAATCTCAACCTATATACAACGAAAGACGAGCGCCGCCCCGTCGTAACATACCTTTTCAACAAACTTACCGCACCGACAATTTTAGGCCCAACACTAATGTATTTTGTCGATATTGTAAGAGTGTCGGTCACACCATAGCGAACTGTCGTAAACGCCAATACAATAATAGCAAACAACAATTTGGTACATCAACCTCACAAGGTCCACCTCATATGTTCCAGCAGCGTGGCGAACACACACCGCGTAAAATCCATTCTGTCGAACAGGTGGGCATGGTAGACCAAGGACACGATGAGGTTGACCATAATTCAAACGAATAAAGGGCTCTCGGCGGTGTCCCGCGAGTCCAAGGCCTCGTATACACACTATTTCAATTCCAAACGACACCTCCACTGTATCCACTGTATCCAACCGACTTAACGGACAGGGTAACCAGCCCCAAACTGACAAGTCGAACTCCACTGTATCCACTGTGTCCAACCGACTTAACCGACAGGGTAACCAGCCCCAAACTGACAAGTCGAACTCCACTGTATCCACTGTATCCAACCGACTTAACCGACAGGGTAACTAGCCCCAAACCGACAAGTCGAATATTACTGTATCCACTGTATCCAACCGACTTAACCGACAGGGTAACCAGCCCCAAACTGACAAGTCCAGTATCACTGCATCCACTGAATCCAAACTCCATGCACGAATCCCTGTAAAACTTACCAATCCTAAAGTCTCATACGCATCCGTTGCAGCATCACGTATTCCTAACTCACATAAGATATCCTTGCAACCCACTGAATCTGTTCCTCCGGTCAAATATTCCAAACACATTAACTTCCAGAACCAGCATAACTTAAATCCAAATGTCACACCGCTTCCAGCGCATAACCTGAAATCAGAAAAAAGACAAATTAAAGTTTATGAAATAAATAGTAATATAGAGAAAAGATACTTACCTCATGTTATGATACAAACATCCGTTGCAACAAAGCCATTATCCTTCCTAGTAGATACCGGTTCATCTGTAAGCCTACTAAAATCAAAATCCATATCAAACCTTCCAATTCTAAGTAATGAGATAATAACACTTAAAGGAATCGACCCCGGAGACGAGACAACTCCTACATTAGGCAGCTTCCCAATGAAAATATACATAAACTCTAATAAATATTTTTCACACGAATTTCATGTTGTTCAAGATCTTAACCTAAATCATGATGGAATTATCGGTAACGACCTTCTTAGGGACTTCCAATGCCAAATCAATTACTCTCAAGGAATGCTACAAATAGGTTCTAATTCAATTAAACTCAACTTTTCCGAACCCGTGTATACAATCTCCTCTCGCACGGAAACTGTAATCGAATGTACAGTTAGTAACCCAGAGGTTCGCGAAGGAGTGATTCTAGATCAACACATCTCTAACTCGTTATTAATTGCAAATTGTTTAGTTAAAGTAAAGGAAAACAACCGCGTCAATATTACAGTAGTAAACACTTCCGAGAAACCTGCTATAATTCACCCAAATCTTAATTTAAAAATAGAGCCAGTACAGCTTGAAAACACCATAGCTTTTTCCAAACCATCAGTCTACAACGTGTCAAAAAGGACAAACGAAGTCCTCAAACAATTAAGAACCTTTCACCTTAATAGCGAAGAGAAAAACGCTTTATTGGACATATGTTCTAACTATTCAGATATATTCCACCTCCCAGACGACCAACTTACGTGCACCACTGCAATCGAACATAAAATTAAAACTAACACAGACGTCCCTATCCAAACAAAATCCTATAGATTCCCCGAATGCCACAAGAAAGAAGTGGAAAAACAAATAAATAAAATGCTAGATCAAAACATCATAACTCCCTCAAACTCACCATGGTCCTCTCCTATTTGGGTCGTTCCCAAAAAATTAGACGCGTCAGGGGAACGCAAATGGCGTGTCGTGATTGACTACCGTAAACTCAATGACGTCACCATCGGAGAAACATACCCTATTCCTCAAATAACTGAAATCCTTGACCAATTGGGGAAAAGCCAATACTTCACTACTCTGGATCTTGCATCAGGATTCCATCAAATCCCTGTATCATCTGAAGATGCACCTAAGACTGCCTTCTCAGTACCTCAAGGTCACTTCCAGTTCACTAGGATGCCCTTTGGCCTTAAAAACGCTCCAGCTACCTTCCAAAAACTCATGAATACATGCCTCTCTGGCCTCCAGGGCTCCCGCTGTTTCGTTTACCTCGACGACATAGTTGTCTATTCTCACGATCTCAACTCTCAAACAAAATCTTGCCTCTGTCTTCAGTAGATTAAGAAACTATAACCTTAAGCTTCAACCCGACAAATGTGAATTCCTATGTAAAGAAGTCGCTTATCTGGGACATCTCATCAACAACGATGGCGTAAAACCAAACCCAGAGAAATTTAAAGCAATCTCCGAATTCCCTGTTCCCAAATGTGCTAAGGACATAAAATCTTTCCTCGGACTGGTCTCTTACTATAGACGGTTCATTCCCGACTTCTCCAAATTAGCCAAACCTCTTACCTCACTCCTTAAAAAGGATACTCCTTTCTGCTGGAAAAATGAACAGCAATTAGCCTTCGAAGTACTTAAAGAAAAACTTACCACTTCACCAGTTCTGGCATATCCAGATTTCTCAAAACCTTTTATACTAACTTGCGACGCTTCCAATTTTGCTATTTCAGCAATCCTATCACAGGGACAAATAGGAAAAGACCGTCCTATAGCCTTCGCTTCCCGCACTTTAAACAAAGCAGAGTGCAATTATAGCGTGACTGAAAAGGAGTGTCTCGCTATCGTTTTCGGAACCAAAGCATTTCGTCCTTATCTTTATGGACGCACTTTTACCATCGTCACGGACCATAAGCCTCTACAATGGCTGTTCAGTTGCAAAGACCCAGGATCCAGACTAATCCGTTGGCGACTCGAACTTGAAGAATTCGACTATATCATCGTCCATAAAAAGGGTAAAATTAACACCAACGCTGACGCTCTCTCCAGATTTCCTGTTAATCCCATTCAACACCCAGAGTCCCAAGTGGAAAATCATTCCCCTCCTTCATTCGACCATATCACACCCGAAGAATTAGAAAGACAGCTCCCTTCTATACCTAATCCCGATGGCAATGAAACACCTTTAATTGACCTCCTCGAAGATCTCGAAATTCCCCTAAATAATAGTCCTATCCTACAGCCAACTAATGACACTAATCCTAATCCTTCTAGTTCAGTAGATCCTCAACCCTCTACAACCGATCAAATCTTTGACTTTAACGATTTCGGTCTCCGAGACCTAGGTGCTTACGGTGACGATCTCAATATTAACACTGATTCACTTAATTTGCCTACACCTCCACCTGAAACTCTACCAATTCCGCCAAACCAACTTCCAACTCCCTTCCGTCACTCGCCGATACCTGAAACGTCTCCTATCCCGTCGAATTAACCAAATTTACTATCTCCAAGTGTTCCCACACCTGAACCAGAAAATTAAAAATTAAACCAGACGCAAAACAATAACTATTCCCAATTCCTAAAATCCATCTCAAATAAAGAATTTATACCAAACACCACCTTAAAAGAACACATCGAAAACCTGTTAAAATCATCCTTCAAAACAATTATAATTCCTACCTCTATTGACCTAGACGAATCAAATCCCTACATCTCCGAAATCCTATCAAATTTAGAAAACAAAGAGGAAATTATAAAAGCTGAAAAAGAATTATTTTCATTCCAAAAGTTACAATATTTAGATAAAACAATATACAGGGTGGGCCATGAATTCTTGGCCCACCCTGTATTTTATATTTACGAAGGTCCATTACTTCGACGAAAGACCCTATCCTGCAATATATGAAACACTGCAACGAATAAAAAACAAAATCCTTCAAACAAATGACGTAACAGATATCGCAATATCTGACTTCCGGAACCCTTTTGACAGACTTTCCCACTCCAAAATCTATAACATACTTGTTTACATATTCAACAACTCTAAAATCTCTATCCATATTTATCGTAATCAAATAATATATCCTACCCTAAGTGAAAGACCAAAAATCCTTCGGGATAACCACGACATCCCAATAGCAGGACATCTAGGCTCAACCCGGATGTATAATAGGATTCAAGACCAATATTATTGGAAAGGAATGAGAAGCGACATAGAAGACTATGTCAAGAAGTGCAAAGCCTGCCAAGAAAATAAAGCTCTTAGGAAAATAAACAAAGCCCCTATGGAAATCACTACTACATCCACTGCTCCTTTTCAACGCGTAGCTCTAGATATCGTAGGACCTCTACCCGAATCCGGAACCGCTAAACTCCGCTATATACTCACCTTACAAGTCGACCTAACAAAGTACTCTGTAGCATATCCCATACGTAGCACGACAGCCGAAGAAACCAGCGATTGCCTCATCCACTTCATCTCCTTATTTGGAATACCCAAATCAATCCTAACAGACCAAGGGACAAACTTCACATCCTACCTCTTCAAAACCACATGCCAATTCCTAAAAATGAAGCAGTTATGGTCTTCACCCTATCATCCACAAACTCAAGGAGCACTAGAACGCAGCCATTCCACTCTCAAAGAATATCTAAAATCATTCGTCAACACAAATCAAAATAATTGGCCCACTTACGTCTACACCGCTATACTTACATACAATACCACTCCACATACCACTACAAAATTTACTCCTTATGAGCTAGTCTTTGGACAAAAACCCTATATTCCAAATTCTATATATGAAAGGAGCTCCGGAACAACCTATTCCGACTATATTAAAATGTTACAACACTTACAAACTCAAATATACACGAGAAATGGCCGTAGAAAACATTTTAAAATCTAAAGAATCCTCCAAAGCTTATTATGACTCTCACACCAGAACTCCTCCCCAATATAAATCTGGCGATTACGTTTACCTCAAAAACCATTTAAGACAAGGAAAGGCCCTCTCACCCGTCTGGAAAGGACCTTTTAAAATAATTCGTGTCCACAACAACCATACGGCCACACTATTAATTAATAGACGTCACGTAACTCATCACTTCAACGAATTCAAACCGGCTGAAATGTCCGGAATAATTTAATTTAAATTAAGTATTAGTTATCTAAGAATATTATAATCTATATTAATTTTAGGAAATAAAATGTTACTCTTTTAATTTCTATTAAATAACTATACATTCATATTTCATTTATATCACTTTCAGTGTATCGTCCCAGGCGCAACCGGAAATGGTTCAGCCGCTTCCTTCTAGCTCCGGCATCCACTTTGATAAAATAGGAAAATTAAAAATAATTAGAGGTAAATTAGACGTTGTTAGCCACATAGATATTTCTTATATCGAACCACACTTAACTAATCTTAACGAAATTCTAAAAACTGTAAAAGTTCTATGTCAACAATCGAATAATCTTTATTGTGATAACACGTGGTTTCCTTTAACAACTCGTTTGAATGACATCAACCGGGAATACGACTCAATCTCCCATTTAATATCCAAACGTAATAAACGTTCCGCGTGGTTTAGTGCAATAGGCACTATATTCAAACACATCTTTGGCACTATGGACGAAGAAGACGCCACAAAATACGACTCCGCCATAACCTCGGTTCAAAAGGACGAAAAGGAACTCGCCCAGCTCCTAAAAGAAAATATTTTAATAACAACTACCTCATTTAATACATTTAATAAAACTATAAGCAAAATAAAATACAACGAGGAAATATTAAATAACGCATTAACTACAATATTAAACAATACAAATAATATCACCAATGACTTATTAATTGAATCAAAGGTCCATTCAGTATTTAGTAGCCTCGAAGCTTCGTTACTCGCCTTATCATTCCAATTAGAGGACATAACCAACTCCATTGTTCTAAGTAGCCAAAACATCCTACATCCGAGTGTTTTGTCCCCTACGCAACTATACAAAGAACTCATTGATAACGATAGGCACCTACCTAGAGACGCAGGGATACCCATAGCATTAAACATAAATAATATTCATTTAATTTTAAGTATTTCCGATGTTTCCTGCTATTTCCTAAATAATAAAATTGTTTTCATCCTACAAATCCCTCTTACAATGAATGAACAATTTAACTTATACCATAGCTTAGCTCTACCTATTCCTCATAACCTAACCAGCCTGAACATCTTTAGTTTAATCCTACCTTCAACTCCCTACATTGGAATATCTAACGATAAGTCAGGCTACTGTAATTTAGATAATATAAATAATTGTAAGTCTATACGCTCTGAGTTCTACCTGTGTAAAGTCCCGACCATATCATTAACAAGTGGTAACCCTACATGTGAAAGTGAACTTCTCACTAAGACATTCAGTGCTCTACCCGTTCAGTGCAAAACTAAAACACTATATAGTGAAATGGACATCTGGAAACCACTAGTGAACAATCGGTGGATTTTTGTGCAATCTCGTCCAAATAGGATAACCATCGACTGTGGTATCTCGGGATTAAAAGAGATAATTATACTCGGTACGGGTATCCTAAATATTCCCGCACAGTGCACAGTGTATACAAAGAGCACAAGGCTCGTGTCGTCGGACGACACTTTGAACATTAATATTCCTACGCCTAGTTTAGACTTTAATATAATTAATGATCCCTGTTGTAAACCTAATGTATCCTCTAGTATTAAGAAATATTCATCTCCTATTTTACTACAAAACATAGATCTAGATGATTTCACAAATAATAAACAAAATTTAGAAAACCTTTCAAAACTCGATAATATAATTAATAAACCCTTGGTAGTAAAATACGGGACACACCATATAACAATAACCTCTGTTATATTAATAATCATTGTTATGTTCATAGCCTTTAAATGTTACAAATTTATAATGTCTAGATTTAAGAATAATTCAAATACTAATGTGCCAATTCCGACTCGTAACGATGATGATAATCATTCCATTTCGCAACGCGAGGATTCACCAATACCAGCACCCCGGTTAAGAAAAGTCGCATAAACTATAATATTCTGAAGCTCGGTTATTTTCCCGATCTTCAGTTTTCCGCGGGGGGCTGTTATACCCCATCAATGTTAGGAGATCGGTTAACGCATCTCTTTAACGCTGCTGCGTCAGCACCATAAAGCCTATATAACCGACCTCCCGACAAACGCCCATAAGTCAGTCGGGAATCATAAGTCAGTCGGGAATCATAAGTCAGTCGAATCATAAGTTAGTCAAGTCAAGTCAGTCTCGTTCCAATCTCAGTCTCGTTCATACATCG